ATCTTTTTTTCTCTCTGTTTTTCAGATTGGAGAATCTCTGTTGATCTGTCTTCTGTCATCTCTATTCTGATATTTAGCACATTTACTGAATCTTTTATTTTTATATTGTCTTTTTCTCTTCTGAAATTTTCATTGTTTATTTTCTTATACTGTTCTGAGAAATTCTGTATTTCCATTAAGTTCATTTTCTTTATGGAGCATAGTTTTATCAGCTGCTTTAAAATATTTGATAATTCTAACATTTTTGTCATTTTGGAATTGCCATGTGCTGATTGCCTTTCTCTCAAAAACTATTAGCCATTTCCTGAGTCTTTCCATGTCATGTATATTGGATTGTATCCTAAATACTATGTGAGACTATGGGTTAAAATCAACAGAGGATGTTGATGTTTTTTTCTGAATGCAGATACCCATCCTAGTTGGGTTCATACCGTAAGTTTTGTCTCTTCTTCTGTGGGTGTGGTTCTAAGGCCAGCTCAATTTGTAAAAGACTTGGCTATGCTGCTTTGAGCCTGTCCTGTGCATGAATCATTTAGGCATTAGTGTGGGCCTTGAGTGGAAGTTTATGTTGTGGCTTACTTCTCAAAGCCTTTGCTACATGGCTTTCAATCTCTTCCATATACCTCAGGGATGAACCCAGGACTAGTGCCAGTTTATATACAGAACTATGGGATCACTTACCCAGCTCTCTCATCTCCAGAATTCCTCCCACTCTGCCATGCTCAAAGCAGCTCCCTTTCAAAAGACAGGTTTTTCTGAGAGTCTGGGATGCCCATGCTGCCCACTGCAGTTTGGCTGGGTGTTCACTCTTGGTTCAAAACTGGGAGAGAGAGTAAGAAATAAAACCAGAAAACTATGAGCTGCTTCCCAGTCCAAAAATGCTTTCAATTAGATTTCAGACAACAGGATATTTTAGACAGAGCTTTTAGTTGTAATTAGTGGAAGAGAGAGTATCTGTCTTGACAGCTCTGAAAGTTCTAAATTAAAAAAATTTTTTTCCTTATCATTAAAACACTTAATAACATAATTTTGATCTCATTATGCTCTATTATATTTTAATTATCCATCAATTCTCTTAAAAACTGTTTTTTACTTATTTTTAATGTTTTACTGTTACAAATAACATGGTATGTTAATGTGTAAATCTGCATCTAGCTTTCTGATTATTTAGGATACATTTTTAAATATAGAATTACTAGTTCAAAGATTATGATAAAGTTCTTAAAGAAAATATTATCATATTGCCTTTCAGAAAGGTTTTACTAAAAAAAGAAGGCTACATTATCTGCAGATTTGGCCAATTTATATAGGGAAATAGCACCTTATTTAAAATTTGGGATCATAATTGAGCAGAAACATTTATTTTCATGGTCATATATATTTTTTCTTTCATAAACTATTTTCCCATGTCCATTACCACTTATTAGAATCAGATTTATAATAAATTTATATGAACTACAGTATATAAATTATATATGCATCTGTCTGTCCATTAGTGCAAAAGAAAAACACCAGAACAAACCAGAAACTAAAGGCACTGTTTACATATAGGTATAAAGGCAACAAAGGAAAAACACAGGAATGGGAATGGAGAAAAGTTAGGGGAGTGACACCTCTGATTGTATGTTTTTGAATATTTCTGACTTGCAGAACCATATGGGTGCTTTACAAACTTAGAAAATCTAAAATCATAGATAGGAAGTCAAAACTGAAATAGAGAAACAAATGAGTCCAAGTGTATTATAAATATAACCATTCTGAAGGGAGAGATGGAAGAAAAAGAACCAACCTACCTGTGGAAACACTATTTTGATTAACTATTTTGATTAAAAAGAAGTGTATGCAGGTATTTTACTCTAATTATCAGGCCTTTTTAATAGTGAAGCATGGCTTCCCAGTTTCCAAAGTTTGTTAAGTATATTTGAGAAAATAGGTAGATAGATAAAGGCTATAAAGCCCAGTTTTCAAAGAAGTTACAAATAAGAAAAGAGGGGAAGTTATAATGAACCTTGTGGTGTTGGACTGGATTGGAATTATCATATGATGCTTTTTTTTGAAGTATATATACAGATATAGAAATGCATACAAACATCTGTGTCATAGTTCTGTCAGCTGAGAGGATCTAGAAGGAATGATGCCCAGTACCAATGATCAGATCTTGCACCCAGATCTTCATTTCTAAATACCATTCTCCAAGAAAAGAACCAGGGCTTTTTGGAGAAATGATTCCACAACTGGGGTGGAAAAATTACAAGAGAAACAATCTTGTCTGAGAAGTTAAGGCAGTGCTGAAAATGATAGGGTCTTTATCAATTTTCTATTGCTGCCCAACAAATTACCACAAACTAAACAGCTTAAAAAACAGCGCTATCAATTTATTAGCTTACAGCTCTGTAGGTCAGAAGCCCAGCTTGACATGCAAGGCTCTCTGTTCAGAGTATCCCANGGTCTTTATCAATTTTCTATTGCTGCCCAACAAATTACCACAAACTAAACAGCTTAAAAAACAGCGCTATCAATTTATTAGCTTACAGCTCTGTAGGTCAGAAGCCCAGCTTGACATGCAAGGCTCTCTGTTCAGAGTATCCCAAGCTGAAATCAAGGTGCCAGCGAGGGTGTTTGGTTCTGAAGGCTCTGGGGAAGAATCCACTTACAAGGGCATTCTGTTTGTTGGCTGAGTTCAGACCCTTGAGGTTGTAGGACTGAGGTCCCTGCTTCTTTGCTGGCTGGCCACTGGAACTCACTCCCAGCTTCTGCTGAGGCTGCTCTCAGGTTTATCAGATGGCTCCCTGAGAGATAATTACTCTCATATCGAATCCTTCCCATGCAATACACCTCTCTGACTTATGTCTGACTTCTGTACCCATATTTAAAGGTCAGGCCCACCTGGATTCCCTTCCTATATGTTAACATCAAGTGGTTTGGAACTTTAATTACATCCTCAATTCTTCACAGGAGTACCTACATTATTGTTTGACCAAATAATGATGTTACACCAGGGGTTGGGAATCTTGGACCCATCTTAGAATTCTGCCTACCAAGGGACATATCAAAAGGACATGGATAGCAATCAATAAATACAAATTGCTAGAATATGATTATTTAGGTCTGTGGATTCCAGATAATTTAATAGTTTAAATTATTTGAAAGTGGTTTTCTTAATCAGAATGTTTGTCTCAATGAACTTCAAGTATTGTTAGAGATCACTAACAGTTATCTACAAGAAAGATAACAAAAACATACATTCCAAGTACTGTAAGAGAGATGTGTATTTAGTGCCCACAATGGGTTCCCATAGCCATCATGTCATTTCATCCATTCTGCTCCTGAGGTGGATGTTAGTTCCACTTCCACTTTCTGAAGAGGATGCTGAAGCTCAAATCATTTAGTGAATAACACATTGTTGCACAGCTGAACACTGATTTCCATCCATGAACCTTATAAATGCAAAAGTTCACTACCAAAATTAACCAACATTCACATAATAAAATCCATTATAAAAGGGAGAGAGCAGAAGAGCCTGCTAATGGCTAAATCTGGGATAATATATGCAATAAAGTAATGATGGTAATGATTGTAACTCATAGCAATAAAGTATATACCAATTAGCCTATACTAATATGAATAATTAAATGGAGACATGGGGATGAAAGAAAAGCTCTTTACAGAATTACAATTAATAAATGCAGAAGGGATGGAATAAACAGAAAATTAGCATTAGACACAACCATAGCAATAAGTATTTGGGGAAGAATCACTAGGTCTTAAAATTTGTGGTCAGAGTATGATGAAAAATGGTATATTTGCAGAGTCTCAAAGTGCCCTTGCAGAAGATAATTATTAATTACAAGGGAGAAAGTATTTTGTAGATTTTTTTACATTTTATATATTGCCTTTAAAAGAGCTGTGTGAAGTCACTCACCGTGTCCTCATAATAAATTATGTTAATTTCCTACTTTTCATAATCATACTGAGGTAATGTAAGACGTTACATTAAGGAGTCTGAGTGAAGGGTATACAACGTAAGAAAAAAACACCTACTTTTAAATTTCCATCTTGATTTATAGACAGGGCAATTTTACCAAGTTACATGAGGTTTACTTACTAAATTTTTTTAAAGAATAGAATTTTTTCAATTTTTTGTGTGTATACACATGCACCCTACATGTATGTATTACATATATTTTACGTTAAAGATCTTCACATATATATTATACACCTAAGTAAAAATATTAAACCTTTAATTCAACATATTAATAGCAATATTCCCCCTACATCTTTACCTTATAGTTCTGTTGACACATATGCTTGAAAAAGTTGTCTGAGCTACTCTTTCAATCTCCCACTCACTCACTCACTCACTCACTATGCAATGTGGAGGCCTATGAAATTTCTCAAAATAATCACTTCCTAATGTTAATTTGGTGGACATGTCTTAGTCTTTACATTATTGCATAATGAATATAATAAATTTAGCTTATTTCCCATGTTTTACTATTTGATCTCCACAATACACCTTTTGAATACACATCTTTGGGAAAAATGTCCTTTTTAAGATGTGTTCCTAGAAAATTGCTGGTATTACCTTCCTATCAACACCTAACGATGCCCATTCACTTGTTCATGCAGTATTTATTGACTGTCTATGTGACAGGCACTGTTCTGGGCACAAGGAAGAGCAGTGAACAATAATGGACACATTCCTACTCACAGGTCAAACAGAAGGGGAAAAGAAAGTTTACCATTTTACTTTTCCCATGGTACTTAAACTGCTTCACCCATTTATTTACTATCCTTGCTATTTCTTCAATTCTAATTCTTATCATAATCAATATAAATTCATATCATACAGTAGCAATTTAAAGTGGAATGAAAAGCAACTATAGCAAAAAACACATTTATTCTAATTACCTTTTTCACCTATAATAAGGTTATGAGAATTAAACAAGCTGATGCACGTAAAATACTTAATATACTGCTTGACAAAAACATAGTTTCTCTGAGGTAGATACTATTTATTGTTTCTCATTTCACAAGTGAGGAATCCAGGGCTTAGAGATGAAAAATCACTTGCTTAATGTTACACAAGTAGAAAATGGCAGTACAAGACTGAACCATGTCTAACTCCAAATCACACTACTATACAGTTTGCTTCTGTTCTAGAATATTCTTATTAATGTCAACCCATGTTACATCCTTCAGTACACATCAACATTGTTTTTCTCCTCTCTCTCACTGGCATTTGTAATCCTTTTTTAATTTTGGTTCTACTGTCATCAACAACGAAAATATACAAGGAAGGCCTAGTTACTCAATTACAAAGCTAATCTGTATTTAGTACAAAAGTTAATTAACTCAATCACTGATACCCATGTAACTCAAACACAAACTGCTTACTTTATTTAACAATGAAATAGTAGTAACAATAATTTAGTTGTGACAAAGCCATCAACAGGACAAATTAAAAACAAGCTAATTAGAGGGATTGCTTCAGCTCAAATAGGTTTTCTCCTTTAAACAGGAAAAACTACCATTAGTCTAGTGGTTCTCAAACCTGTCTGCATGTTGGAAGAATGGGGGAAGCAGAGCTGTTGCTTTAAAAATAGCTTCATACAAAGCCTCAAAACTAAGATTCTTGAAGTGTTGTCCTCAGATAATTCAAACCAAGAAATCAAAAGAAGAAATAAGATAAACTTCTTTCCAGTTATCCTAGGAAGTGGGGAGGGAAGCACCTCCTCATTCCTCATTGTTCTTTATCCACTTTTAATTATCCAGAGTTTAACAAACATCAAATACTGGAAGTTATGCAAACATGCTACCTCTACTGAAATTCTCACTACTTTACATTGAGAAAGTTCTTTAAACAAATACCAGCTTTCAGAAAGAATCCCCCACATTTTTAGTTTGCATAGATGTTTAAGTCAGCTATTTGATCAACTAAGAGTCAATAAAATGTATTAGAAAGCATTAATAACAATTATAAAACAATATTCATTTCATGTACCACAAATTAACTTTTTGGTGCAGACAAGAGGAACATTTGAGTGTTTCCCATTTATTTCTTAAACTGTCAGAATTCCTTTTCATAAGACAGGTATCTTCAAATTAAAAACTTGAATAAAATAACTTTCCCTATAAGCGCAGTATATCCTTGACAAATCCCTATTGGGAATCAGTGACTGCAGGCATTCATCTTTACAACTTCTCATTTTCAGGTTTGGGAACAATATCACAAGTAGGAAAAATAACTTTTTTCCCTTAAGAATACATAAATTCACTTAGAGTTGTTTCCTCAAATTCAGAAAAACCCATTTCTCCAGCTCCTTCTGTCAGGACTCCATATCAATCTCAACCACATCACTCTTGCCCTGAAGTGTTGCTTCTGACAGGTGGTCTTCGTTTACATCTTCAATGTCTGTCAGATTGATAGGTGGTAAAGGATTCCTCCAGTACTGGAAGGTGTTATACTGTGAAAATTCTTCACTGAGCTTTAGGGAAGAAAAAAAAGAGATGAAAATACATTAATGGTTTAGAGAAAATCAACTTTTTTTTCCAGGAATTCCTTCTGTTTTAAAAGTAAACTCACATAAGATTTTGCAGTCTTACTTTACATCTTCAAAAAAATAGTTTTAGTTCTGCCTCATCAAAGTATTTCATGGACTCAGTCAAAACTGCCTTTTCATACTCATGGCTTTGTGAACCTATTTCTTGTTAGCAGTTTAAAGTCAAAAGAATTTCCTCCAAGAGCATCCCTTCCAACAATTTTCTTCCATTTTTCCAAAAAAAAAAAAAAAGCCTGAAAACAGTCTAAAGATTTTTTACCTTTCAATGGGGAAAACAATTTCTTTAAAAAATACCTACATCTTTCAACTTATTTTTGGTCCTTTTCCTGAGGTTTGATATTTTACAGGGTCGACTTTACATATAGGCTAAAAATATTCTGACAACCTTCTAAAAAGTCTTAAGATACAACTATAGTAAACAGCAAGAAAATCTCACATAATAGTTTTATTAAATATATCATTTGGTACAAGGCATGACTTTTAAATCACTGTACCAAACCCAATAAATCCAAGTGAGTGCCAATCCCTTAATGAATGGCTATAAAATTGTTTCAAGAACCTATCAAGTGAAGCTGACATTCCAATGAAGTTCCAACTGGCACAAATTTCAAAAGCATCCCAAAAATACTTCGTGCAAAGGAAGCAGCATTGGAAGTATACAGACTTAGAAGGTGACCACTTTAAAGGTTAACACCCTTCCCAGATACCTACATACGCATATCTATTCATACTCGCTACAGAAGCACTATCCAACAGAAATATAATGGAAGCCACATGTTATTTATAATTTTATAATAACCACAGAAGTAGTAACAAGTGAAATTAATCATATTTTATGTGACCTAATATATCCAAAATATTATCATTTCAACCTGCAGTCAGTATTTTAAAAATTAATGATACATTACATTCTTCTCATCATATAAAATTTTCAAAATCTGGCAGGCATTTTACACTTACAGCACTGGTCAGACCAGCTACACTTCAATGCTCAATAACCACATGTGCCTAATTACTGGATAACACTGGTAAATAAGAAAATTTCATTAAGAAGTTCACTTAGTGCCTTAGACACTAAGGCTATAACAGTCTCTTTGGAATTTCTTAACACTGGGATAAACCTGTAGAAATTCAAAGGATGCCTAGAAAAACAATCATTGAAATAAGCAAATAGGGTTAAAAACAAGGACCTACTTCTCTGCTTTTTGGAAAAAAATCTATTGCTCAAATTACCTACTTATAAACAGGAACCAAAAAAAAGATCCTTTAATGATGTCAGTGTAACCTAGTAAGAGTACAAACACTGCCACCAGATACACTTTAGTTTGCATGATAATTCTACCACCCACTAACTGGTCTTTACTTGAGTCTATTTTCTCATTGATAAAAAGTAGGACTATTGTGAGAATAAAGATTTAGTTCTGTAAATGCCCAAAATTGCTAGATTATATCCTAAGAAACCTATGAATCATTACTTTCTTTTTAGTAATAGGAAACATTTCTGCTTGCTTTCTTTTACAAATATCCAACAGTGTCAGCACTGACAGACCAACAAATGTGCATACAGTGACACTAACATGAAAAAATACATGAATATTTAATGAAGTAATACCTGGTTATATTTTAGTTCTCTAACAAAAAATCATCTGAAACAACTCAAGAACTATTTTGAGGTTCTAAGACAGAACGGGGGTATCATTCCTCTGCCTAGATTGCATCTCCAATATAGAAAGGACATGTTTGAGAAAATTCTTCCTAAATACAATCCCAAGGGTGAGGGGGGCAGAGGCTTGAGCTTTGAGTACAACAGGAACCAGGAAGACATTTCCTGCATGAACTGAAAAAGCTTTTTAACTTCTCCATGTTTTTGTTATACCCTGTTTTATTTTGGTAATTAACTATGAAATTTGTAAAACCTGTATCTTTGGAGGAAGGAAGAAAAAAAGGAAGCTATAGAAAAACATGTTCCTCTCTTAAGTTTGCAGAAGAGCAGAACAAGAGAAGGGAACATGAAGGTTCCTGGGCTTTTGCCAAAAGAGAACCGGGAACTAGTGTTGGTGAAGAAGGAATCCCTGGAGCCAACCTTGCTCCCAGCGGTGGGCTTGAAGTGACCATAGAGAGCTGCCAGATGTCACTGCTGTGGAAGTAGATACAGGATGTCTAGGAGATTCTAAGCAGGCATCAATGTCAGTCCACTAAAAAATTCTTCTTTCCCTACCTGTCATTTCTATATTTCCCTCTCACCCTCTGTGGTATACTACAGTCATTACATTCTCGTAGGAAAGACAAGCCCACATATGGTTGGTGTACCAAAAATGGTCTTAAAAGTTTTCAAACTACACAATATTATCTCTAATAGATCTGGATGACTATCATTCGGGATTTTTTTTTGAAAGTTCTACACATTGGCACCAGACATGATTCAATTGGAAATTCCAGTTCTTATTTCTCTTTTCAAAACATAACGGCTAACATGCAGTTCTAAGTAAGCTGACTTTAAACACCTAAAGCAATCTGAAGAAAAAAGTGTAAGGCTCATGTTTTCTAACTTCCAAGAAAACTGAGAGTAGAAATAGTTACAATTTATAATTTCATCCAAAAATACCCATCATAACAATTGTCTAAAAGGTAACTTCTCAGAAACGTACCTTTCTCAACTATAAAATCCTAACTTACTAGGTCTTCTCCAAGAACAAAGTGCCAAAGGAACCTCAATTTTTTTTTACAAGGTACTTCATAAATTCTGTGTAAGATACAAGGCAATAAGAGAAATGTGGGGTGTATGCTATGCTATGATGTACTGGCTGAAGAGTTTGGTGAATTCTCGAACCCCACATTTGGTTTGTCCATCCCCAAAGCTCCTAGTTAAGTCAACCCGCAACGGCCAAAAAGCCTGAATTCCTATGTCTAGACCAAAGCTGTTCAATAAATAATTTTAAATTTTCAGCCACAAACATAAATTTTAAATTTCCTACTGGCCATCTTAAAAAAGTAAAAGCAGGCTGTTGGTTGCCGTATTGAACAGCAAAGATCTAGATAAATCAGACCCCATGTACAGAGACGGACAGGCTCATTTCCCAAGGAATAGTAACTTTCCAACGATCCTCAGAATGCTTACTTTAGAGCCCAAATTCGTTTTTCATAGGATCAGATCTAACGCTGTGAGTTAAGATGCTTTTTCCAAGACACGGCGGCCTTTTCTCTCTACCAAAGGAGCTATACACCACGCCGAGGAAGTCCAACTGATGGCTGCTATATCGGTCATCCTCTTCAGAAAGAAACATCACTAATTCTAGAAAAACCTTTCCCTAACGTTTGTCGTTGAGCTGAACCTATCACGGTTCTCGGTCAACGTCTTCTCCAAGCTCTAAAGTCTATCAAGACCCAGGTTCCTGCATCCCTTACACAGCACAGGCACTGAGCCTGCAGGGCCACGTCTACCTCATCCAACGGTCTGGTTCAGCTTTCGGCAGGTAGGACTCTCCCAAACCGCGACCGAAGGCAACGCTGCCAAGGGCTTTGGGTCCCTTGGTGTATGGCCTGGGGGTCAGGGTCCATTCCTGCAGCAGGGACCCTGGCTTTTGCCTTTTGGGGCATCTTGACATGAGTCTAGAGGGAAGCAATCTGTTCCTTCTTGGGGCGCGCAGTGGCTGGGAAAAAGCTGGCCCCTTCTCCCCTTACCCCGCCCGCCCCACTGGAGGGTCCAGCCCACCCCCAGCCCTACCTGGCACGGTGCAGTCCCCCATTCTTCCCGCCGGGGCTCTGCGCTCCCCGCCCCGCCGTCGCCACCGCCCCTCGGGGGCCGGGCGCTCCGGGGCTCCTCCCCCGGCACGCGGGGCCGCACGGGCGGCGTCAGCAGCGGGGGCTCGCCTGTCTCCAGGCCGCGGCCCTCACGCTCTGCGCCAACCGGAGCGCTGGGGTCCCTGCCGACGCGGCGCTTGCTGGGCGAGGCCGAAGGCTCAGTCATAGCCCCCGCGTCGATTTTGCGCTTTCGGGGCAGCTCCGAGACGCCGACGGGCTGCCCGGAATGCGAGGCCCCTGGTGGCCGGATCCAGAGCGGCGGCGGCGGCTCCTCGGGAAAGTCGCAGAACAGGAGCCGCTTCCAAGGCACATGGAACGTCAGCGGCTCAGCCGCACGCCGTTTGGCCATGGGCCTCGGGGAATCGGGCTGAGCCCGCCCGGCGCGGGAGGCCGAGCGCCGATAACCGCGGGGGCGAAGGGCAAGGTGGGGCGCGCGTGGGCGAGGACTCGGTTCGTGGGAGGGGAGGCCGCAGGGGGTGGGGCGGCCTGGTCCGGGGCAGCACGCGGCGCCGAAGTGCAGCCGTACGCTGGGAAGCAGTCGTCAAGCGGCGGAGATTCGAACCTGTGCACAATTGTGCGTGCGCGCACCCGCGCCGGCAGGCGGAGCCGCTGGTTGGTGGAAACGTGGGGCGCGCTCCTGAGCGCACCAGCGACCGGAAGTGCGCGCCCGGGGTGAGGCGGGAAGGCGGCAGCGGGTTTATTAAAGGTCTCGTGCGGCTGCGGGTTGAGGGTGTGACCTCGTTACCTGAGGGGTGGGAAAGGTCGAGCAAATGAGAAGTTCATTAAAGCGGGGTGGCTGACGACCTTTAAAATGTGTATGTTGACGTTCCTTTCGTCAGGTCAGTGGTCACGGGGACATTTTCAAGAGGTAAAAAATATTATACAAACTTTTAATATAATAGTGTTCAGAGGCTCTTGCGCAATGTTGAGTGAGAGGAGACAGAGGCGGGCCGGGGCTGAGGGAAGTAGCTAAACCCAACACAGAAACAACAAAACCAATGTAGGGTGTGTTTAGCGGTGGTTGCTGTGCAAAGTGAAGTTGGCACCAGTGGAAGATCTTTTGATTAAAAACTCGGATGACGATGTGCAGCTCACCCGGAAGAGCTCATCCAAGAGCGAACTGAAACCTCAAATCGTTTAGCTCTTATGTTACGGGAGATACAGAGTTCCCTGCTTACTCTTCGGTGATCAGAAGTGATATTCGAAGACCTTCATAACAAAAAAGTGTGTGTTGTCTAACAAAGGGAGGAGGGAATAACAGCAGTGTATTTACTAGAGCTTACATTTTAATAGTTGATAAAGACATCGACCAAATAAAAGTGTGAGGAAAAAAATTACATAAAAGTGCACTGAAAGGAGAAACTGTGATCTAGAGAAAAAGTGTGCAAGGAAGATAACTGTATTCCACTGGTAGGTACTACATATTATGTTAATTGCCCCACAACCCTACACTTAAGGTGGTTGTGAGAAGATAGGGTAACTACTTACCTATTAACAAATATAACAAGTTAGAGTAGAAAACAATAGCTTTTCTGTTTGCTCTTCCCATTTTCTCCTGTTGGAAATTGATAACCCATCTGTCTTAAATAGATGAAGACTTTGCTATTTTCAAACCAGCGACCCAGATCAGATATGAAAGAACTTTTGAGAGGTTTATTTGTTTTGAGAGTACCTGCCCCAAGATGATGAAAGAGTAGTTTAGCAAATAGAGGTTTATTCCTTTGTGGTCCTCTCCACAGACTTTTTTCTAAATTATGAAATTTGTCATATATACAGAGGGTTGTATGAAACATAGATGTAGTTGAGAGAATGACAGTAAAATACCTAGCACCCAGTTTCAGATACAGATTACTAGTACCAGTATATGGCATAGTGCCTAAGTGCCTCTCCCATTAGGGCCTCCCTCTCCCCGAATTTCACGTAATTACTATTTTGAATTTTGAGTTCATCATTCTTTTGCAATTTCCTCATCTGTGTATGTTCCTAATAACATTTTTAGTTGCACTGTTTATTTTTAACAGCTTTATTGAGGCCTAATTGACAAAATGGACTGCATATATTTAAAGTTTAATTTGCTGAATTTTGACATATATATATATGTGTATATATATATATATACACATATATATATATACACATACACACACACCTGTGGAACCATAACCACAATTAAGATAATACACATATACCCATCAGCACCAAAAGTTTCCTCTTGCTTTACTTACTGTCACAGATTACTTTGCATTTTCTAGAGTTTCATATAAATGCAATCATATAGTTTATACTCTTTTTTTGTTTGCCTTTTCCTCAGTACAATTTTTTTGAGATTTATTCATGTCATTACATGTTTATTCATTTTTATTACCTATTAGATGAACATGTAGGTTGCTTCCAGTTTGGGGTTATTACAGATAAAGCTGCTGAGAACATTTCTGTTTGAGGTTTTGTATGCACATAGGCTTTTTTTCTCTTGGGTAAATACCTAGGAGTGGAATGGCTGGATCATAAGGTAGTGTACATTTCACTTTTTAACAAACTTGTTTCAGTTTTACATTCACATTCTCTCCAACACTTGTTATAGTCAGACTTTAATTTTAGTCTTTCTCAATAAATTCTCATGTATCTCAGTTTTCATTTTTATTTGCATTTCTCTAATGACTAATGATGTTGAGTATCTTTCAAGTGCTTATTTGCTTTAATATTTTTAGGTAAAATGTTTGAATATTTTGCCCATTTTTAAAACTGGATCGTTTATTTTCCTTGTGTTTTTTTTAATGCATGTAATGGCATTTCATTATTGAATATACTGTTCCATCATATGAATCCACTCCGTTGCTGACAGACATTTTAGTTTTTTGAAATGTTTGCATTTATAAGTAGTATGCTGTGAACATATTTGTTCATGATTTCTAAGGCACATGAGTAAGAATGTCTACACAAAGTGGAATTACTGAGTTGTAGAGTATATTTATCTTCACCTGGACTAGGTAATGCCAGAGTTTTCCAAAGTGCTTTTTACCACTTTACCCTCCTAGCAGTGTATGAGAGATGCCCTTTTGCCACATTCTCAACCAATAAACTGAGTGTGGTCTGACCTGAGCAGTGGGAAATGGTATCTCACTGTGGCTTTAGTCTGTATTTCCCCAAAGAAGGTGGACATCTTTTTATATGTTATGGCCCATTCCTGGAGCAGTAATCCTGGCTCTTTAGTTTTCATGACATCTTCTGTTGAACAAGTTTTCAACCTAAATGTAGCTTAAGTTACCAGTCTTTTCCTTGTTTATAGTTTATGCCTTTTATTTTGTTTTTTTGAAGTGTAGGGCCTTTTGCAACAAACTCTGCTTCAAGACCACCTGCCTGATCCTAGTCTTTGGCCCAGCTCGGATCTCCAGCCTTTGTAAAAAGACTGTTAAATCTTTTGCCCTTTTAAAAAAGTGAATTGGTTGATTTTTTTCTTGCTGGTTTGGAAGTTCTTTTTTTCATTCCGGAAAGCGGTTTTCTTGTGGATAATAGGTGTTGTAAATGTTGTAAGTATCTTCTCCCAGTTTGTGTCTTGTATTTTCACTCTCTGTGGTATATTTAACTTAGTCAAGTTTATGAATGTTTTCTTTCCCGTTTTGCACATACGATGTCCTGTTTAAGGAATCCGTTCCTTTCCCAAGTTCTAGATGTTTTATATTTTAGCTTCCACATTTAAATCTTTCATCCATGTGGACTTGATTTGTGTGTATATGTGGTGTGGTGTGAATAAAGACAAGTTTATTTTTCTTCTCCATGTGGAATAACTAGTTTTCTCAACACTGTATTTTGAAAAATTGACCTTTTCTCACTGCTGTGCAGTACCTGTTTTGTTGTAAGTGGAATTTTCATAAATACACGCAGCCTCAGGAGCTATTAGGTTGATCTGTTTTTTAATCTTGGGCCAGTTCAGCAGTGTCTTATTTACTATAGCTTTGTAATAAGTCTTTGATGTCAGTAGACGAATACCATGCATTTTGTTCCTCAGAAGTGTCTTGGTTCTGTCTTTGCTCTTCCATATAGAATCATCTTGTAACATTATCTTGTCCTTTTGGAATTTTGAGAACAATTGCATTGAAACTATAGATCAGTTTGGGGACAATTGTCATCTTTACAAGATGGAGCCCACTTCCTATTCAGGAATGTTTTATAGCTCTCAAGTTATTTAGGTCTTTATTTTAACGTCTTTCAATAAAGTTTTGTAATTTTCACTCTAAGGAGCTTATGTATCTTTTGTTAGGTTTATTCCTAAGCACTTTATAATTTTTGCAAGTGGTATTCCCCCCACAGAGATACCTTTTTTTTTCCTTGGCATTTTCTGAGTTCTTGTTGCTACCCCTGATCTGTCTTAAAAAGCTCTCGAAGTGGAACTTGAAATTAAGTTTACTAAGTTGTAAATACTACAGGACTCACTTCTTCAAGCTATTTGTCCATTTCACTCGTTTCAAACTTGTTGGCACAATATTTCATTAGTTTCTCTATTTTCATTGATTTCTACTTAGTTTGGGTTTACTTTACTTTCTCCATGTTCTTTTGATAAAACATAAGGTCATTGATTTTAGACTTTCTTCTTTTCTAATGAAACTTTTAAAGCTACAAATTTCTCTGTAGCACTTTAGCTACAGCAAAATTTTGATATGTTGTATTTTCATTATCTTTCAGTTCTGAAACATTCTCATTTCCCTGGTTTCTTTCTTGACTTAATGGATTATTTAAGTGTGTTAATTTTCTACATAACTAAGGTTTTCCTAGGTATCTTTTTCTTATTGACTTCTAGTTAATTCCATTCTCATTTAATTGATACTTTGTGTAATTTTAATCCTCTTAAATTTATTGGTTTATTTTATGACCCAACATATGAATTATCATGGTGCCTGTACCATATGCCCTTGAAAAGAATACATTCTGCAGATATTGAGCATAGTGCTCTATATGTCATTTAGGTCAAGGTGATTGATAGTGTTTTTCAGATTCTATGTTTTTTTACTGATTTTTTTTTGTCTAATTGTTGTTCATTGCCCAGAACAAGGTGTTAAAATATCCAGCCATAATGGTAGATTTTTCTATTTCTCTTTAATTCCATCAGTGTTTATGTATTTTGAAGTTCTGTTATTAAGCACACAGATACTGTGATTGTGTCTTCATAACCCTTTGATTTATGACATAGCCACCTTTATCTCTGGTAATGCTCTTTGTTTTGAAGCTCTTAATTTGATATTAATACAGCCATTCCAGCCCTTTTATGCTTACCATTTTCATACTGTATCTTTTTCCTGTCCATTTACTTTTACTCTGTAGCTTTATATTTAATGTGGCTCCTGGAGACAACATATGTAGTTGGATCTTGCTTTTCTGACATTCTGACAATTTATGTATTTTAACTGGAATGGGTAGTACTTTATCATTTGATAAAAATTATTGATATGTCTGGATTTAGGTCTGTTTTACTATTTGTTCTCTCTTTTGACTCTACTTTTGGGTTCATTTGAATATTGTTTTGACTTTGATTGTAATTTAATCTATTAACATTTCAGCTGTACCTCTTTGCATTAATTTTCAGTGGTTGCTCTCAGGATTGCAATGTACCTCAGGATTGCAATGTACGTATTTAACTTCACACAATCTACTAAAAATTAACATTAATACCACTTCATGTAAAGCTAAATCTTGCAACCCTTCACTCCCACCCCCAAATCCAATCAGTGCACTTTTATATTGACCCAATAGGATTTTCTACCTATCTTATAATTTTGTATAATTTCTTTCCCCAATGCTTCT